GGGAAGGGAACTTTATGAAATATTTAGGCCTACTCACAAAACTTTAGAGATGAAGAAACTAGAAGAGGGTTTAGCCAAGGTTGTAGTGACCCATAGGAGAAACAAAAGACCAGGGTCATTTTATAAGCACTCCAAAAGATTGCCACTGGAGGGCTGGAGATTGGAGAGTGACTGGAAATAGCTGCAGCACTCAGAGACATGTCTTTGTGGCACTGAAACAACAGATGCTTTGTACAAAGAAAAACTCAAGGCAGAGGTCAGAACAACAATTGCTTTCAAGATTGGCTCCACTGTAGGTTAAGCCTTAGCAGACTAGACAAAAGTAGGACTAAATGGTTAAACTTCCTGACATTCCAAATCCTTTGTGATGATCAAACAATAACTATTTTTAATATTGTAAGAAATAAATTAGTGTATTTAAAGTCCCTAACTGTGTAGCACTTTTCTAAACTACTGATTAATATGTATGACAAAGTCAGTATGAAGATAAATCTCTATCATTAAAAAAAAATGCAAGAAAATGACAGCCAGGCATGGTGTGGCTGAAGGGGGAAGATCGTGAATATGAGGCCAACCTGGGCACACAAAGAATGACACTTTGTCTCAAGTAAATGAAAGCAGAACAGACCTCCAAGGCTATTCATGGTCTATGGACACATTAGAATACTAACAAAGTAAATATTCCTCTCATTGGGACTTAAGGACCATTATGTAGTATAAGCTTGTTAGCTTCCAAAGCATCCATGCTTATATAAACCAAAAATTTACACTCAAATAATACTCAATCTCTTATAAAGTATTCTCTAAAGAAAGCATAAAAATATATTATTTTAACAGCTTGTTAAGCGATAAAGTGCCTACATTGTTACATTGTCAATTTTGAGTCTTGTTTCAAGTATGCATGTAGCCAAGATAAAATAGCATGGCTGTAAAGTACTATTATAACACACAAACATCTTTAAAATGTAAAATCAATGATCTCTTCTAGTATTCATAAACTTTCTGCTTTATTTGGGATGTGGCTCTTTATTGTGCTTACGTTCAGATTTTAATACAAACCATTTTCAGCTGATAGTAGTGCCATGGATTGCCTCACCAAAGATTTCAGATGTGAGATGAATAAGCACCATAAGTTACAGGATATGAATTCTAGAGAAATTGTTTCCATGCAAAATGGGACTTAAACTCATTTAAAGCTATAGACATGATTTTGACTTTACAGTTATCTTTTCCAATTGCAGATACAATGGTACAAATTTGAGTGAACATTTTAATAAAACACACACAGTAATATTTGAGTTTCATCTTTCATCTTATATTGTGATGGAGGGTTTATGATCAAAGTCCAGATAGACCAGTCTACTTGAACTGGAAAGGATTTAAGGTTAACATCACTACTGGAGGCCAGCAGACACTTCTCAGATACTGTCTCAGAATTCATCTCAGGTGTCTCTTAAATATAACAAAACAATCTGCTATACTTCCATTCCAGTGCTCCCACATACCAAATAAAGACAATAAGAGGAAGAAATTCTGGGAGCTGTTTATTTGGTAAAATACTTGCACAAGCATGTGAATCTGAGTTTGGGTCCCTAGAAATCAAGGATAAAAACATCCAGGCATAACGGCAGGCTTGTAATCCTAATGCAAGAGAGATGGATACTGGCAGATCCCAGACATTCACCAGTAATCTAACCCATCTGGAATATGGAGCTTCAGGTTCAAGGAGAAACCTTGCCTCAAAACATAACATAGACAAGCAATTGAAAAGGGCACACATGCACAAGTACATATACATATACTTAACAGACAAAAACAACTATTAGAAGAAAAGGAAAGTTGGCGGTAAACCTCCATGGTAGAATACTGGACCTAATATGCTCCAGGTTTTGCATTAAAGTGCCATTACTATAAATATATGCAAATAACACACACACACACACACAAGTAATTTGTTGTGGTTGCTCATGTCAATAATTCAGGGGACTGAGGCAGGAGAGTCACTATGAGTTCCAGTCCAGCCTGGAATACAGAGTGAGACCCTTTCCTCACCTTTCCTCAATAAATCAAAGAAAAAAACATAAACAAGTCAAAGAAAAATAATAAATAAGTGATAAGTCATGTGAAAACTATTGAACAGAACATTAAATTTACCAATGAACTTTCAGACAAGATAAAATAAAATGAAATTATAGTTTTATTGTTTAAGAAGAAGCAGGGAGAGGAGTCACATCTATCTTCACAGATGCTACTTTCTCAATGGTTTATTACAGAGTAAATCTATTTCTTTGTATTGGTCTAAGCAGCATAGAAACCATGAAGTAAACATTTTGAGAGCATCCTTTCAAAAGTAGGAAAATAGTAAACAAATAATCATGCCCACCTTGGGCTTTGGTACCATGACAAATCTCATACTAGTTGTACTTTCATAACTGAGGACATATATGCAAACTAGGATTTTTGTCAAATCAAATTGGATAGTGCTGGCCTTTGTATAATTCTTTCCTCACAACTGACTTTTTAATTTTTATTTTTTATTGTCTTCTTTTTTCAATCAGCATACAAAGTCATTGGCTTCCCTGGACAAATGACTTTTCAAACATCTACTAAAAGAACACACTTCAGTCTGTGATATCACCTTAACATGTAGTGTAATGTATTTTTTTAGTACAATTAAAATTTAGCCCTTTAAAAAAAAACCTGTAAAGCAGCAGTTTTCAACCTGTGGATCCTGACTCAGGAAACACTTAAAATTTAATAAAACATATAGAGTTTGAGGCTACTATAGTTTGAAAATATTGCTAGAAAGAAGCCAACAAATTCTAGACATATCAACTCTATTGCAAAGTAACTAATTAAACTCTGAAACAGGAAACTCCTTGAAATTTCTAAGGAACACAGTCTCAATTAGAACACAAACACCTCGATATCAAGTTTCATATTTTCCTTGATTAGCTTCTATTGCTATTATTTTATATTGGTAAACTCTAAATCAGGGTTTATTCTCAAACTCTACATCCAATCCTACTTAACCATTAACACAATGATGTTGTCAGTGGAAAAAAATCTTCCAGTTGCTTGTTGTGTAGGAATTCCTAAATCTAAAGAACAACGTTCCAACACAAAATTCCTATGGTGGACTTTTCCATGTTCCAAGTGAACATTGTCCTCTTGCTAGTTTCTCCATTTTCTATTAGTCATATTTAAAGATATTATCATAACAAAGTTTGAAAGGCAATATATAGTCATGAATTGAGCAAAATTATTTTACAAAATTATGAAAGCAGAATTTTCTAGAAAAGTTTAACTTTCCACAGACACTCATTGCAGGTGTGCTTTTATATGAGACTGGGGGGAGTAAGGGAGAAAGAACAGGTGGGGTAAAGAAGAAAGAAGGGGAAGTGAATAATGGAGAGAAAACAGCTTAGGATAATTTTCATCAAGAGTTCTCTGAACTGACTATAGAGGTCATGCATTTCAATAAATAGAATGTTCTGAAGTTGGCTGATGGGGGATAATGGATATGGCATCAAGTTCCAGGTGTAGACAGGAAGGAAAGACACAGGATTGAAGTGGACATGAAAAGTGGACATGCTGCAGGATTCTGCCATGCACCCTCCATGTATGCCTGAATCTCTGTCTCTTGAAACCTCCTCTGTCCATCATGACTTCCTCTTGGGCTTTGGTGGATCAGGCCTCAAATGATTCTTCACTAGTCATGGCCATTACCACTCAGGCTCCATAGCAGGATCTGTCACAGCTTCATGGAGTCAGAGGACACATTTTTCACTGATTATTGCCTATTCTTTTGGGTTTTACACTGTTGCTAATGATTCTCATAGTCTCCTATTTCTGATGAGGAGTCTCTACTTTCCAGTCACAAAAATGAGAACAAAAATGTTCTATATACTCTTTTATCCTGCACAGCCAGTTACAAAATCCTCTTATATTTCATTGTTCTTCAACCCCTGAATGTTAAAGTCTTGGCCTATGCATTATAACAATCATTTCTCTTGTGTGTGCACATGTGCGCACGCATCCTGAGTGTGTGTGTGTGTATATATGTGTGTGTGTGTGTGTGTGTGTGTGTGTGTGTGCGTGCGTGCACACACTTGTGCATGTGCATATAGCTTCAGGATGCATGAGGGTAAACTTGTAAAGTTGTGGAGTCCCCAAGTTAACTTCATGTGTCTCTTACTGTTCTTCATCTTTAACAGAGTCTATTCCTGAACTTGAAGCCCATCATTAGGCCAGACTGGTGGACCAATGAGGTTGAGGGATTTTTCTGTCTCTATTTCATCCTAACCCCAACAAGGCTGGTGTTTCAGGCACAATCCACATGTCCAGCATTTGACCTGGGTTATGCAGAGACAAATGTGGTTTAGGTGATCGGGCCTGCACAGACAGAGCCATCTCCCCAAACCCCTCATCACAGCATTCTATACAAATATTTAAAAGCGCTCTATCACCCTGATTTGTCAGAATTTCAGTCCTGTGATTGGCTTTTAGAGACACAAATTAGCTACAGCAATTAATGCCTCATTGCCCACCTGCCCTCTGTGTCATTGCCCAGTTCTCGGCACAGCAGATGTGGCTGTGATCGCTGGTGATATGATCCTTCCTGACTTTTCCAGTTCTGATCAGCCCTGTGCTCCAAGACTCCTTCCCCAGCTTCCTCTTGATTGTCTTTTACTGTCTCAACTTCAACATCTAGTCTCCATGGCATCATTTCACACATCACTATTTTCACATTGTTCTTTTCTCTTATTAAATTTGTGTTCACTCTATCTTTCCAAGTGACTCTGTGTCAAGTTAGATCACTTGTTTTGTATGATGTCTTATACTCATTTCCAGCATGTCTTACACCCATTTCCAGGGTCTAAACTTGATGAAGGTGTCTTGCTATCTTACTAGTTGCTATTGAACAACATACCAAGGTTTACAAAACAGTGACATGATATGCAATGAAAAAAACAGAGCTGTGCTAGATGCACACTTACCAGAGAAGACACTAGGTATCTTGGAAAGGAAGCTTTTGACAGTGCGGATGGGAATTCCATTTTTTTCATCTTGCATGCGTGCTATGACATCCTCCATCTAAATGATAAAACAAAGAAAATGTTTAAAAAGTTGAACTTTTCGCTGTTTCAAAAGTTTGCCTAATGTAGGATAATTCTATATTCTCTTACCTTTCTATAACTTGTTGCACTAATATATTTTAAAGTTTGGTCAGCAAGAAGTGAAAAGGGCTAGCAACTGGGGAAAGTCTATTTGGGGTGCGTTAAACTAATGACAAGAATTTTGTGTTTCAATATTGCAGGTTTCATACTCTTCGGCTTAAAGAGTGGGAATGAACAGTATTTGGGTCAGAAAGCACTGTTGGCAGAGTCACATCACCTCCACTTAACTTAGTCCAAAAGTAAGTGGAAGCCCGGGAACGATCTGAGTGGCATTTCCCTTAATGGGGGGAGCTTCTATAGTTTAGGCTAACACTTGAGTTCAGTCTGCCTGGAAGTTCAGGACAGACTGGAAACCACTGGTTCCTTCACTTGCTAATGTGAGAAGAAACACGAAGAGATACACACATGAGAGAGAGAGAGAGAGAGAGACAGAGAGAGAGAGAGAGACAGAGAGAGAGAGAGACAGAGAGAGAGAGAGAGAGAGATGAGCCATCCACCAGTGTCTTCTGGTCTTCTGTCCTGTTGGCAGATTGCACTGACATCTTTCTTTTATTCTTTTATCTTGTTCATTCACCTTCTTTACATTCAAGTATTTTCATAATTCTATAAGTTTGATCATCACCAAGTCAGGGTGAAGAGGAATTGTAGGAGTCAGAAGGGTTGATGACAGCAGAAGAACGTGGCTGGCCCATAGAGTCAACTAGGCAGGGCTCATAAGGGCTCACAGACTGAACCAACAACCAGGGACCCTGTATGGGTCTCAGCCTAGGTCCATTGCATTTACATTATGTTTGTGTAGCTGAGTGTTCCTAAGGGATTCCTGACAGTGGGAGTAGGGACTGTCACTGATTCTTTTGCATGGTCCTGGGACCCTTTCCATCCTAAGATGTTGTTGCTTTATCCAGTCTTAGTATGAGGGTTTGTGCCTATTCTTATTGTTATGCTATGTTTGGTTGATATCACTGGGAGGCCTGCATTTTTAAAAAGGGAAATGGGAGAGGAATAGATCTGGGAGAGAGGGGAGGTGTAGGGAGGGACTAGGAGGAAAGGAAGGGGTCATGGGAAGTAATATACTGCAGTCAGAATATAATATATGAGAGAATTAAAAAAAAAACTCTCTTCATCACCAAGTCTAAGCTGGAATTTAGTTCTATAGTAAACGTTCAATCAAAGCCTCATTGTCTCTTCATGAGCTTCACAACTACGTGACAAAACTCCACACAGGATTCCCAAACTGTAGTATGTGACTTAAACTTCATTTGTTCATTTACCCATTCTGAAGTCATTGATCACTGCCCCTTAATCAGAATCCCCATCGGCACTGGGATCAGAAAATCTACAAAATAGCACCCCCCCAAAAAAAAACCCACAAAACTTGAAATTGTGTAAAGCTTACAGTTTGGTTAACTACGAACCAGCATCGATTTCCCATATCAACAATTATGCCATGCTTATGTAAGGTGCTAACAGGAAGGGAAGCCAAGCAAAGGCCCAATGGGAAATCTTTGTGTTATTTTTGCATCTTTTCTGTAAGCCTAAAATTATTTCAAAGCAAAAAAGCTTTTAAAAAAAAGATACTCTATAGTTTATATCAATGAGTCACCTAATTCCCACCACATAGTTTCAGAGCAATTTTCAACTAAAAAAAAAAAAAAAAAAAAAATCTGTTTTGCTTGGATGAATGTCATTAGCTTCCTTAACATTCAAAATACCCTGGTGGGAAGAATGAGTTTTCGTGTAAGGTGGGTCTAGATTTGAGTCTCAACTCTTACAGTGACTGTACTTTGAGCAAGTTAAATAATTTCACTAAGACTTACTCTGTTCTTTCATAAAACAGTAAGACCAATGCTTAGAATAGATCCTTTACAATGTTGTCTGGGGACCTGGTGTTGGGACCGGGGTGGGATAAAATAAAGCTCAATGATATAACATGCATAAGACCTGACAGATAGGACAACAAATATTGGACTTGTTCTATACTCTAAGACTTAGGAATACCTCTTCTCCAGCCTCAGGTTTCTCAGCATAAGCAGACATCATTAGATGTGCCCTACTGCCTCCAAATGTCCAAGCCCTAACTCTAGGGAGAGCCAAGCTCATGGACACATTAGCCAGTAAGGAGTGTGGTACAGAATGTGAAGCGGAATTTGGTTCACTCCTCCTCTCATGGCTGGAAGGCTCCGCCGAGGCCTGCTCCAAAGAGGTGGCTTCAGAGTTATCAAGTGTAGTCAGAGAAATGAGCTTCAGAACTGTGACACACAGTGCACAACTAAGTAGAATTAAGGTTATTCTTTTTTGTCTATCCCTTTCTGTTTGATTGATGTGCTCAATCCGAATAGAAATGGAAGATATTTTGATCACCAGGCCTCCAAAATCCCTAACAGTAATCAAGTACTCCTGTAATAAAGATATCTAAGTATAGAAACAGAAAATAGACATCCTGGCTTTTGATTTAGTTACTGCTTGCCCTTGATTCACCTGACACAATGAAGAATAAGCTGCTTCGCCTGCCTGTAAGCCCCTGTATTATCTGCTTAAAGGCTTAACTGGCCGATTAGACAGCCACAGAGCCTCCTCTGCCTCCTCTGTGCTCACCCAGGAGGGTGGCATTGATGAACCCTGGTACAAAGCAATGAGCAGAGGGACTTTCTCCATGAAGTCACCTCTGTGTTGAGGGGTATTTAGAGCAAGGCTAGGAGGAGAATTGAAAGTGACTTGTGTTATTGCATCTCACAATCTTTCACTTTTCTTGAACCATCATTTCTTTCTTGATTTGGGGTCTTGCTACATATAGCCCAATTTGAGAACCTTCTGCTTCCACCTCCCAAATGCTCAGATCTGAATCATAATTTTTAAAATTTAAATTAGAATCAAGCTTGTTTAACATGTCAATCCCAGTTTCCTCTCCCTCCCCTTCTCCTCTGCCCAGCACCACCCTCTATTCTATCCTCTTTCTGCTCCCCAGGGACGGTGAGGTCTTCCATGGGGGATCTTCAAAGTCTTAACATTTGCAGCAGGACCCTGTGTTTCTAGGCTGAGAAAGTATCCCTCTATGAGGAATGAACCGTAATTTTTATGATGGGAAAATTTTAACTATAATGCAAAAACTAGAATTTGCACTCTAAACTGAGAATACAAATATGCAAAGGTGTTTAGCTGTTTGAATATTTGTTTGGATACGATTTATCCATAAAATGCATTTCAGACTACATAAGTATAAACTACCAAATAAGTAAAAAAAGCAATAAATCTAATGCAAAGAAAAGGCAACAACCCAGTTCCTAAACCCTAAAGTGAGTTTCAAATCCACCTGGCAAAACCAGTCCTCCAGCCAGGTGGTGGTGACTTTAATGACAGCACTCAGGAGGCAATGACAGGCAGATCTGTATGAGTCTGAGGCCAGCCTAGTCTACAAAGCAAGTACACAGAGAAACATTGTGTCAGGAAAACAAAACAACAACAACAACAAAAACCTGTCCTCTAACTTCTATCTCAGGACAATAATTTGATGTCAATCTTTAACATAAGGTTAATTAACTGCCTTAGAAACATTAGAAATAACAATTAGCTGAGAAAAGGAATGTTAAACACAGACAAATCCATTAATAGAGGAAAGTAGACAACAAGAGAAATAAGACATTGCAAAATTAATTCTAACAAGTATTAAATATATCCAAGACAACTTAGTTTAATACAAAAAGAAAAGAAAATCCACATACTTTCAGAGTTACATGAAAAGACCTTAGATACCCGTGAATGTTGTGTTCATGTGGTGTATATGTGTATGCATTTGTGTCTTCACACACACACACACACACACACACACACACACACACACACACACACGCACGCACGCACGCACATGCGGTATCATAGCCGTTTTAAAGAAATGGGTTCTAGTACTTGTCAAACAAACTCAAATCCACAGACTCTCACGTCTCTGCTATAAAACATCATCTTTGTACATATCCTTGACCCACCATTCTGTGTACAATACATAATCTTCAGATTATTGATAATAACCAACACAGTGGGGGTGCTATGTGTAGTTACTCTACTGTATTTGGGGGGAGCTAATTGCAAAGGAAAAAGTCTATGGGTCAGTTCTAACTTAGATTTCATACTGGTGGTGCTTGTGTTGTTTCTTCAAAGATGGGGAAATTAAGTAGAAAAATGTCGGAAACGATATTTGTAAACCTAAGTAAGAGCCAAATTAACTATGGAAATGCATAGTTAGGAGAAACAATGCTATATCCATTCCTGATGGCCAAAAAATACTGCTCTCTCATGTTCTTCACCAATCTCCCTCCTGGACTTCTGTCTCTTTCAGTTACACTGAAGGCTGGGGTCTCTTGACTCATTTATTAGAGGTCTTTCTTCTATGAACATGTCACATTAAACTGGTGGCTGGGACTATCAGCTTGTCCATGTGATCCCAGTTCACAGCCATATACAAGGTCTCAAGAGAAAGGTTCTGATACGGGCTCCTTTCATGGGAATCCATAATTATTGTTTCTTCTTAAGCAGCAGCTCATGCTTGGGATGACATTCACACACCAATCAAGCTAAACAGCCGCAGGCCACACACTTGGGGAGCATTGAAGGAAAAGTACAGTATGCAGACTCATTTTTAAAGAACTTCAAAGTATTGATAGAGGCCCCAGACAGGTCCCCACATTTTTGTGGGCAGCCTTCCTAGCTCTCCAGTTTTCTCAACAACAAAGGCAACTCACACACTGTTATGTTTACCAGAAAGGTTTGTAAAATATCATTACCATTGACTTCATTAGTCCCACTCACTCTCCGAGACACTGCAACTGCCAGCAAGGCACTGAAGGAAAGCAGAAACATGTTATACTGCTATGGTTCTGAGAGAGAAGTGAATCGATCAAAATTTCAAGGGAAGTTTTCCAACTT